TGTGTGTTTGTGTGTGTGTGTGTCTTACCCATGTGCAGGTACTGCTACTTTGTTTTTTACCATTAAGGCAAATGAAGATTTGAGAGCTTTATGACACTCTACAGTAACATATTAACAACATAATTAGCAACTTGTGATTTAGTCACACTGTATTATTGTGGATGGATGTGCCAGAAATGATAAGGACAAAGTTATAGAGAAGATATTAAAATGAAATTCAGAACTTGCTAATTCTTTTTGATCCTTTCTTTAACCTAAATAAGGCTTCTTTCACCCCTCAGTTTCATTTTTCTTTATCCCCAGTGCTGTTACCATGTAGGGAAGAAGAGGACATTTCCACCACCAGTCACTGCATCACCTGTACTGTTGTTTTTGGCTAAAATTTTTAGAGGACCAAAATGTTGTACCTTAAACAATTTTGACTGCCTACCAATGGAATTTTAGCCATTTGTATTCCCTAGTCACCTCTAAGGAAAAAAAATTAAAACAGATTTCTGTGCTTATTAAATCACAGTGAGTATAGCTGTTCCATGTCTCCTACACAACATACAGTTTTGCTAAGAGTGCATTTTGATTATAGTAGCTTGCTTAGCTCCTTGAAAACATGCAGCAATCTCGACAGTGAAGCTAAAATCAGAAATTCAAGCATGGATTAATGGACCACTTCTAGCAGAAAAGCTGTCCCTCCGGTCAATGGTTCCTGGGTATCTGAGGCAGGAAGGGACCTATGGAACAAGGGCATTAATATGGATTCAAGTTCTGAATCTACCATGAATATTTTTTAGCTCCTTAGAAGAGTCACTTACCTCCTCCTCAACTGTAAAATAAAATCAATAAAATGATCTCTGCCACACAATTCACAGGTTGTATTTATAACTAGATGCTATCATGTTCAAGTCACTTAAAATAATTTTTATTTTGAGGTATGTCTTTAATTATGTTGCAGGCTCCTAGAAAGTCATAAAATTGGGAGAAAGCCTGTTTGCATGAACAACTGTCTACATTCAGAAAAATAAAGGCTATTCAAGGGGTAAGACTGCAGTCTGGTCCCTATAAAATGAAGTGGCCTGGAGTCATGTGGTGTATCAGAAGCCCAGGATGGGAAGCAGGGGTAGATTATAAAGGCACGGAGCTCTCAGGGGACTTCCCCAGGAGAGCATCTGTAGGTCTCTACCTCTTTCCTAGGGAAGAAACAAACTGCCTGTGGGGAACAACTTGGATATTTTGAGTATTTACATATGCTCTGTAAATTACTCGTTAATGCATAAATCACACACAGCAATATGCACAAAGTATAAGAGTTCTAAAAATGTCTGTTAAATGTATAGTCATGTAAGCACTGTCTAGTTTACTGATTTCTTTGTTGTCAACTTCGTTACCCAGTTTCCTGGGAACTAGTAAACAATTTTTCTATATAATTTGGCCTTTGCAAAAATGTCCTTTCTTCAAATCCTAGAAATGTGGTCTCTGATGGCAGGATCTTTTGCTTAGCACAAACTCAGTTGGGGTGCATTTTGTTACTTATATCTGCGGCAAAATATTTTTATTAGGGAGTTATATATCAAAAATGAAGTTTAAACATTATTTTTCTCACTCTTGTTTCAGGGTAACTTTGCTTGATCTTGTGTTTGGTGATGATGAAAAAAGTTGATCTAAACATTGGCTAACAATTTTGTGTGAATATAGATTTTTATTTCATTTGAGTAAATACTCAGTAATTGGTTTGGTTGGTTATATGGTAAGTATACTTAATTGAATAAGAACTCCCCACTGTTTATGGAAATGGCTTTATCATTTTCCATTCCCAAGTGTAATGCGTTCCTATTTCGTTGTAGTTTTAAGATTTTTTTTAGTATCAGTTTTACTATTTTTCAACGATGCTTCATCTTCTCAGAAAAAATTGTTATATTATTTTATTTTTATGTATTTATTTAACGATTTATTTTATTGACAGACAATAATTGAATATCTTTATGAAGTACAGTGTGACTTTTGAGTACACATATACAAGGTGTACTTTCAAGCTCAGGGCACTTTAGTTATCCATTACTCCAAATAGTTACTACTTGTGTTTCAAATACTATATTCAAAATCCTCTCTTCTATTTTGAATTATATACTACAATACTGTTCATGACAGTCACCCTCTGTGTAATAGATTATTTTCTGTTTCCTAAAAGCACCTTCCCAAAAAATGTTTAAAAAGAAAAATCCCCACAACCTTACCACATTATTACACTTAAGACCCGGGAATGGCTTTTCTCCCATAAAGGGGATTGATCCATTCTGTCCTCTACACAGTCCTCTCTGAGCTCTCAGTGCCTGGAAGGCTTATCATACTGCTCTTATGGCCACAAGCGTGGGTGTGGTTGCAAGTTGGTTCTGTGACGAAGGCAGCTGAGCCTCCAGTTGGGGAACTTAACCTTTCCAAATTTCAGCTTATGTCAGTAAGAAATATTTTATGGTTTAGATGTAAGATGTGGCTCACTCTCTCATGTGCTTAGAGGTGGGACTTTTGGAAGATGATTGGAACATGAGGGTGAGTCAGTGAATTCACGGCTGAATGGGCTGTTGGGAGGTGGGGCCCACTTGGAGGAGATATTTCCTGCTCTTGCTCTGTCCCTTGGCTTCCTGCTTTTTCTCACCAAGAATTGAGCATCCGTCCTCTACCATGCCCTTCCTACAGGCTGTTTCTAGGCAGCAGTCAGACAATCATGGATGAAAACTTCTAAATCTCTAAGCCAAAATTAAACTTTCCTTTATGTTTCTGGGGTCAGGTATTTTGTCCTGGGAAGGGAAAGCTGACTAACACAGAAAAGATTGATAATATCATCTCATCCTCTAATAATGGCTAAGAATATTATCAGACTATATATACAAACCACAGGACATTTGTAGTAGACACCAAGTATTCCGTAAAGTTAAATAGCAATGTTTTATTTTTTTAAATTAATCCAGCCTGGGTAACACAGAGCACAGAAAATAGTGGTGTTCAACATTGTGTATTTCTGTACATGTGCTTGGTCAATTGTGTCTGAGACATGTATTAGTGTGGACAGTGCACTTTAGGAAGAATTGATGGGAATATTTTCTGTTGGTTGAAGCACACCCATTACTCTCCAGTTGTCTCTCTCCTGTCTCAGAGTCTGAGGAGGCTGCATGGTCTTGCAGGTGCAGCTGCAGGTGAAGTCTTTGTCAGCCTAAATTAGAGAATAACTGCACAGGAAATGCTTTCCCCTCTATCAGGCAGCCTGTGTCAAAATTCTAAAGGCCTGCTCCATGAAAGGAAAAACTAATGCTTCAATGTATATATATAAGTGCAAAGGGCCATGAGTAGTCCAAACAGTCTTGAAAATGAAGAGAATAAGACTGATACTTCCTGATTTTGAAAACAAAAACAAGTAAACATCAAAGCCCTTGATAGTTCCTTAATGATAGAGATCCAGACTATATTATAGCCTTCCTGCCATTGAGACACAAATGCATCACATACAGCCCAGGGAGAAAAAGTCCCATTTAGCTCCTGGATGATGGAGATTCAGTATGGTTGGCAGGTTCAAAGCAGAAATACCACAGCAGAGGGAGTGTCACAGCAGAGCTATTTGGTATACATAGGAGGGGAACAATGGCAGAAAGTAAGGGGTAGAGGACAGATGTTGATGTAAAGCAGGCCTCTATGACCCACTCAGATAGAGTAGAGTTTGCTCCTCCCAGCCCTGAGGTGGATCCCAAGGTCAATTAATTTGCTACTCCATCCTAATGGCCACATCTCACCCTTGACAACTTGATACTCTGAACACATTTCCTTACACCATACTTTCTCTCCAAATAAACGGAGGTCACAATTCCACCTAAGATGATAAAACTATCTTGTGTACAATACAAAATGAAGAATTCCTTTCTGGAGATCTCAACAGTTTTAGCACTTTTCAAAAGTCTAAGTTCAAGTCTCTTCTGAGACTCAAGGCAAACTCTTAGCTATAAATATCTATAAAAATCAGAAGCAACTTACATAATCCCAAAATATAACAAAACAGCATAAAATTTCCCATCACAAACAGACACAAATGAATAGGGGAGTGGAAAAGAATGAGACCAAAGCCAAACCAAAATCCAGAGGGCCAACATTAAGTAGTATTATTCCATCAGACAGCCTGTGTATGGTGAGATGAGTTTACAGGACCCAGGAAGCCCCATTCCTACAGTCTTGTTGTTCACAACCATGTAGCCTATTTTCTGGGCTGACTGTACTAATGGATTGAAGATCCTTCCAATTTGCAGAACTGGAAAGACTGGGGGTGCAGCTCAGTCTGAGTCAAAAGCCTGTACCTGGAGAGGCTGAGCTGTAACTCTGGCAAGAGTCTGGACACCTAGGCCAATGAGGCAGGAGCTCTGAGGCACAGAGGGAGAAGAGAGAGAGCTACCAGTTAAAGAAGAGGGAGACATAGGATCTGCCCTTTCTGCAGGTCTGTGTTCTGCAGGGCATACATGATGGCTGCCCACTCTGTGGATTATAGTGGTCTCCCTTCATTTCAGGATTAATATATGGAGACATTTATAAATACCCTAATAGAAACACACACAAATATATTTCACAGGTATATGGGTTTGTCCTGAACCCAGGCAGAGTGATATATAAAATTATCTGTCACAGGTATCCATCCTACAATTAATTCAGGCAAATTCTCCTGCCACATCTGCATGTGTCCTCAGGGGACTTTGAAAAGCAGTTTTGTTATTGGGCTTCTCTGTGCTCCCATTATTCAAAGCAGTGATTCAGGTTTAATACAGATGTAATATGACTTACTACCTCAATTAGATCCTGAGATATCCTACTTGAGTACAAATGTTATATTAGCACATAATGTTTTCTTTTTTCTCCAAGATTGAGTGTCACTCCAGGCATAGGAGTTCAGTGTGGGCCTTAAAATAAAAATTGGTTCATGAAGGTTAGAGATATCTGAAACTAGACATTGCCACACTACCAGTAAAATCAAAGTCTTAATGATATTGCCGCAAAATAATTTTTGTGAATGCATTCTTGACCTCCTTGTTCCTGAGGCTATAGACCAGTGGATTCAGCATGGGGATCACCATGGTGTAAAATACAGATGAAATTTTGTCCATGTCCATGGAGTGACTGGAGCTGGGCTGCAGGTACATGAAAATGACTGTCCCATAGAAGATAGAGACAGCTGTGAAGTGAGAGGCACAGGTGGACAGAGCCTTCTTATATCCAGCACCTGAGCGCATCCACAGGAGGGTGCCAAAAATGAAAATGTAGGATAATAAGATAACAAGGAGAGCAAAAAAGATATTAAAACCTACAACATAAACAAGAACAAGCTCACTCACATGTCTATCAGAGCAGGAGAGAACCATGACTGCTGGAATATCACAGAAAAAATGATGGACCACATTGTTTTTACAGAAAGAGAGTCTGAATGTGTCCCCAATGTGGATGGAGGCATTCAGGAAGCCACAGATATAGGAGCCAGTGATGAGACAAGAACACACATTTGTGGTCATGTTGGTGGTGTAGTGCAAGGGCTTGCACACTGCTGCATAGCGGTCATAGGCCATGGAAGCCAAGAGGAAACTCTCCACAGTAGCAAAGGCTACAAAAAAGAACATCTGAGAGGCACAGGAATTGTACGATATGATCTGGTCTCTTGTAAGCAGCCCAGCCATGACCATGGGAGTGACAGCCGAGGAGTATCCAAAGTCCACCAGAGACAGGTTACCCAGGAAATAGTACATGGGAGTGTGCAGATGAGGATCCAGGAGGATCAGCAGGATCATTCCCAGGTTCCCAGCCACAGTGATGGTGTACATGACAAGGAGTGTGATGAAGAGGGGAACCTGCAGGTGTGGGTCATCGGTCAGTCCCAGCAGGAGGAACTGTGTCACCTCTGTCCTGTTCTCCATCAGTGTCATCTGAGAATCAACACTTTAGTTGCTCTTTACCAATGTAAAAAACAAAAGCATCATAAACTGAACTGTAGTGGGAAACCATTAAGTAACGTCCATATTTTGTCCTTATTGTGATGATTTGTATTTCAGCATTCTTCAGAAAATTGCAAGGTGTAGAAAACTAAATATGGTGCTTTCAATACACACAGTGTACATAATGCTGTTCCTGAAGCATCTCCATGACTCATCTATCACCTTTTAAAATGTTTATACATTTATAAACTGAGTGCCAGATAAGTTTAAAACTTAATGAAAATTACTTGTTTGCCTGGATGCATATGGTAATTTACATCTGAATGAAGCAACAGCTGAGACTTCAGTGTTGCTTACCCATGAAAACCTCCTGTGGACACATTAAAGTGCACTCACTCTCTCCTGCCTGCAGCATTCTGTATTTGATTGCTTCATACATATGTGTCAATTTTTGGATCATGTGACATTGAAAAATTCCTTGACATTTACACAAGTGTTAATTGGAAATCTCTACTCTGGCCCCATGCCAAAGTTTAACCCATTCACAGGGTACCTATGTTTAAAGGTTAATTTAAATGAAATCGAATAAAACTCATCCAACAATCCATCCTTGTCTTCTCGGGACCCAACACAGCGTTTTCAATTTCACCATGAACTAAGTGATTCATGAGGTTGCACTGTTGATTACTATATATTTTCATGTATTTGGAGATAAAATAAACAAACATATCAAAGTCCAAGAAAGCAAAATGACCCTGCTTTCATCTACAAACTGTCCCAAATGAGTTGACCAGCTCTGAGTCACACTGTGACCTTTTAAACACAGTCACATGGTTATTACAACTAGCACTTTTACACACATTGTCATCAGGTGACTAAAAACATCAACTTTTGATTGGGCTGAAGATGAGTTTAGCACCTGAATCCCAGCAGTGCCTCTCCTGCCTTCCTTCCTTCCTTCCTGAAATTTCTGGGCCAAAACCATCCTCCTGCCTGAGTACCTGGGACCCTAGGCATGTGGTACTGCACTTGCATGATTTATTTGAATTGATGTCTTTGGAAGGATCTACACCTCAAGCTTTCTACTATTACCTACCATGTCTTCTAAACCTTCTTCAAACTCAACTATAAGCCTGACACATTAATAATTGTCTACACCAATAATTATGTAGTCAACACACTGATGACTAGCAAATACCAGCAAGCAAAGCTTTATATATAAATGTGTTTATGTATGTATTCATGTGTAATAGAGTTAGCAACATCAGTATTATTATTCTTCCTTTATCATCAAGGAAATTTGATTAGTTATTTGACCCTCTAAAATTGCACAGCTAATATGAATACACACAAAGAGCAAGATGTAAAGCCATCTGCTCCTTAATGAATGACATACACTTCTTCCATGTCACTGTCCACATGAATCTGAATGACATTGTGGGGCAAAGGCTGAAATGTAGTTCAGAACATGTTAATCCATTTAGGACCCTTTGTCATTCAAAGAAGGATCATTCCACTGTTCTGGGTTTCTGTATGTTTATTTTTGTTTGTTTACCTCTAGTGATAGTTAAATAGTGAAAAAATACAGGAGCATCCAGTAACCAGTGTCAATGAGCCTTATTTTTTCTTTGTATTTTTGGAGAAATGAACACGAAGTGTCACGACAATCCCTAACCTGCCTCTATGGAAGTTCTGACATTCACACAACAGGCTCACCTGAATTTTTGGAAAAGTATTGAAGCCAACTTTTTCTCTTTTTCAGTAACTCTCCGGAGTTATTAACTATAGAATACACAAGATTACCAGTTTGGGGGAAGAGGCAGAAGAGTCAGTTCCTAATGGTGTGTCTGAAATTGCTCTATCAGACATTGGATATGATCCAATTCTCTTCCAGGACTTCTCTCCCTGGCAGTGGCCAAAAGATTCCAACTTCTGGAGAGCAGTCAAAAAATGGAGGAAAGAGCATTAACACGCATCAAGTTCCAAATCTGCCACGAATTCATTCTGTTTCTTAGACTACTTCCCTTATCCTTAAAAAATGCACCTTACATAAGCTGCAGGTCAAGTCTATCAATAACAAATAAGAGCAGCCTAGAAGGCGTCTCATGAGAGCTTCTCATTTGCAAGTCAGCCAGGGTAATTCTTGTCTCTGAGACGGTTCCCTGACAGGGCTGAGGGCTCAGAGCAAATCCTCGGGTGAGAAGAGGGCCCGTGTGCATGAGAATGACCACCACAGCTGAAGGAGTAACTCCCGGGCGGTGAGGCGGGCAGTTTTCCTCCTCAAATAGCATGATGCTGAGTCGCAGCAGGCTTTCACCCAGCTTGGGGAGAACTGTACAGACTTGGAGGCCCCAGAGAATTCTCCTGTGAGACTGACTCTGGCTCCACGTCCTCCTTTCTCAGGGAAGAAGCAATTAAGCTGTCTGCGGGGATCGAGAGTAAATGTTTCTGCAGTGTTCGACATTGCTTGCTTCTTTTTGGAGCTTCTGGTTGATCTGTAACTCACATGCAGTAACACCCACGCGTGTTTAGCGCGTGGTCACCCGTAATCACGTAACCACCACTCCAGCCGCAGGAACCCGTGTACCCCAGCTTCTCTTTGACTCATCCTCATCCATGTAGCACCTCTTGCATCGAGTACACTGTGTAATTTTGTGATTGTGAGAATGTCCTTAGGCATCATCCTAGAATCCGAGGTCCCTGATTCTGTCATTTGCCCTTACTATTGTCACCTAAGGACCTGTGATTAGCCTATCTTTTCTTGATGGGCTAATCACCTTTTAAGACTTTTATGAGTGTATGTTTGCAAAACAGCCTGGTGTGGTTTGTTTTGGGGAAGCAGTGCATGTGTAACACATCTTGATCATTTTTGGTCTGTTTACCCTCCCTTGTTTTTCCTCACCCCTCCCCTCTCTCCAAGAGAGATTCTGCAATCTTTTCACTGCAGAGTAATGTTCCACTGTGTGGACATTGCAAACTATTTTTTTTCACATTGCAGTTGAGGCACATTGTGTTGGTTTCAGTGTGTGGTATTATAATTAAGGCTGATGTAAACATGTGCAGGTAGGTTTTTGTTTGTGTATAGATTTTCAGGTCATATCAGTAAATACTTAGTGGTCAGGTTGGATTATCCAGTAGTATGTGTTTGTTTTTTTGAATATGAAACAGCCAAACTGCTTCCTGAAGAAGTCCTTCAAGTCTGATCTTCCCTAACTCAGCCAGGCCGAATGTTTCACATCTTCATCAACATTTGTTTTTTTTAACAGTTTTTTATTTACTGTTTTTGTTTTATTCTTATTTTTTGTCATTCTCTATTACATTTCAAGAAACCTCCCTATTCTTACAGACTCAGCTAGGTTACCATCCGACTTCTGTCCTGGGAATGCATTTCTACAATAACCGACAGAGTCTCCCTGTCCCTGTGCCCTCTCTCCATTCTGCACTCCCACAAGGACTCACCACATCTCCCTAGGCACAGGCAAGGGTGGTCTTAAGTATTTTTTCTGTCCATCTACGTGGTTTCACCAGAAACCCAAGTCAGAGTTTCATCTCTCTCTGCCTCACCATGTCTTTCCTAACAGGGGGAAATACTGTTTGTTGTCCTCATAGGATTTCCAAAAGGATTACTATACAAAGCACAACACAGTTTCTGAACCGTCAGGAGTTTCAGGGTTAAATGTTGTATGCATTATTTATGAAATTAGAATCAGTGTGGGTCACAACAATCCTGTATCAAAATAAGCCATCTGTTTCCCCATGCAATCTTGCCCTGTTTCACCCAGGCAGGACTGATAGTGCATGGGGAAGACATTATGATGTTTGGAACACACAGAGCCCGAGTTGTTCTCTCTTCTCTCTTGGGGTCACTGTCACCTGTCTTCCTGCTCCAGCCCCTGCAGCTCTGGATGGTGATGCCCCCTTCAGCCAGTGCCTGGAGCAGCACATGTAGTGGGACCTCCGCTTACCCTTTTAATCTGTGTAACTTATGTGCAAAGTAAACCCATTAGAGGGTGAACCGTGCCCCACAATATCAGATCCTAATACCTGACATCTGTAATCATAACCTGATGTGACAGTAGCACTGTGATTGTAGTTAAATAAAGGATGGAAGATAAGAATTGAAGTGTTTTTCTACTGGGTTCTGAGTACACCTTCTGAGTCCTTTATGACACAGGCAGGAAAAATGGTACACCAGAGTATTTCAAGGGCCTGTTGTTACTCTACAGAAATATTGCAAATATAAGGAAAACTCTCAGAATAGACTTTGCTAAGACTCTGATAAATTGTCAAAATATTTACAGAAAATAGGTGAAAAATCAAGAAAAAGAAAAAACAGACAAGCATGTCTACGATACTGAAAGCTAACACCAGGGAAAGGAACCAAAACATCAGAGCACACAAAGAAAAACAAAATGAAACAAAACACTTTTTAAACTGTTCTAGGCCATTTACTAAATAAACAGCTAGACCCACTCCAAGAAATCACAAAATAGCCTTGCAGAGGGGAAAGTATCACACTGCTATATTACAAAAGTCAAATTCCCAGCATAAATGTGAGATATGTGAAGAACAGAAGTATGCTTAATTCCAAAAGAGAGAGAAAAACTGAGTGTAACTAAGTGGAAGATGCACACACTTTATGTTCACCTCAACTGGCTAAATATGTGCAAAGATATTAAGGAAATTTTGAATGAAAATCGAGAATCAACTTTAGGTTTTTGTTGATTTCCTCTATTATTTTCTCTTCATTCTCTTTGTTTTACTCTGCTCTAATCTTGTTTCTTTCTTCATGCTACTTTCAGTTTTAGTTTTCATATTTTAATGTCAAATCCTTAAAATTTCAGGGTAGGTTGTTCACTTAAAATAATCCTTTGATAAATTTCAGTTGACCTTTTTTTTTTCTTGCTACAACAAAAATTGCATGTATTGTTTTCATGATCATTTTTCTCAAACTACTTTATAATTTCTCCTTTGATATAACTTCATTCATT